GTACGTTTAAATTCAAATGCAGTACCTACTGAGTAGTAGGCGATTTCGGACGCAGCCAATGACTCTACTTGCGCTCACATTTACACATCTATTTGTATAAATAAGTGTTGGTAAAGCTGCTAACTTTCATAAGCTCCTACTATTTGAAAATTATTTTACAGTACAACCGGTTTCTAATAATTACGTAATATGTGGTCTTTTTCTTTTTTTTATTAATTCATGAAAATATACAGGAATTACCATACTACGTCACACATGATGCCAAAATTAATAGAAAACTTAACTTTTACCGTACACCACACTGCTTTTAATGCCAACTGCAGACGTCTTTGGCTAAAATGGAGCTGAATGGAGCGAGGACCTATTTAAAAATGCTGGACTCTGCTGTTCTCATTTCATATCAGGTAAGTTCATGCTATGCTGAATCATACACATTACTCGTTTTTGATTGCAGCGGTGATTTCAGCAAAAACTGTTAAATATGGTGAATTAAACTGCGAATACTGAATGCTTAATGAAAGGTAAAAGTGTAAGTGCACATACCCTGCTGTACAGGTGCAGTTTTGCTGTCAGAATGCAGTTGTTTTGCTTGTTGATGGTTACCCAGGCCTTGCACAGCTCCGTCTTCTTTCCTTGTCTTTGGCTAGGCAGAATCTCGGTTTTTAGCCCTGCAAAGTGTTGAATCTGGTAATCATGGAGCATTATTTCTTGCACATGACCACACAGATCAACATTGTTGACATCCAAAGACTTGTAGGCCTTTAACTTCTCTCTTGTAAAATCACTTGGAGTTTCATGAGAGATGTATATTTGGGGCTGGATGCTTGGCCATTTCGTCCTATCCAATATCCATTGGGAGGGTGCTATCTATCGCTAATGAACCTGTCTTCTTCTTCGTGTTGTTTTATGGTGGGTGGCATCCAACTTTAAGGTGCATTACCGCCACCTACTATACTGGAGTGGGAACCAAAATGATTTTGAGACTCATAGGCTGTTTCTCAATATGCGTTCTTCAGCGGTCTTGCGTCCTCGTGTTCTCGTGAAACGTCATCATCAGCTGCCTAAGTTCAGTTCCAATACTCAAGACCGCAAGTACGGAGGACGCATGAAACTTCCCGGATGTGTTCTTTATATCGAGGACGCACTAATGCAGACTTGAGCACCGAACTCGCTCTGGAAGTCCCAGAAGTCATTGCGACTGGAGGTGGGAAGCGCAGCATTTTATCTAGACTTATTATTAAAGTTCATAGATATGAATTATTTACTTCAGGAGTTTCCCTAAATGAAACGGTGAAAGTAAACATTACCATGGACATCTTAATAAAGGAATAAACACATTAAGGGTTGTTTGTTTGCTGAAATTCGTATTAAAATCTGTTTTATTTATATTGTGCAACATATATTTATAATGTTTTTATGCAAAGTATATATTTTGAAAAGGGGAAAAACAATAAATCGTTGTATGAAGGCTGTAATGTTTAAATAATTTACCATTTAAAACACGTGAAGGTCATGTGACCATCAGGAAGAAAGCGCAGCATCCCATTTCTCAAAGGACGCATTCTCTGCCCTCGCGGTCTCCTGAGTTCGTTCTTCTGAGGACACCTGGCAAGACCGGTCTCCACAAGAACACAAGTCCGTTCTCTGCGTTCTTGAAATTGAGAAACAGCTATAGTATATGTTATATTCTGTATATTAGCCGAGTTTGCCCCAAAAATGAAATTAAATTACTATAGTACACTGTTTGACTAAGTATTTGATTTATTTCTATTGTACCCTGCAGTATATTCTTGAATACCTCCCTTTATTTATTATGTTTCTGACAAGACAATGACTTATTATATGATCTACTGATTCTTCTACTAGACAATATTCGCATAACCCAGTTGGATGCTTTCCATTGATATGCAATGCTTCATTTAATCTAGTGTGCCCTAGTCTTAATCTAAATATTGCATTGTCTTCCAACGTACTTCTCCTTCTCCTCTTCATCCTCCCTACTTTCTTCGTAGCTGATATGCAAATTAGTGCGTGATGTCATCTGGCAACATTTGGCTACATTTTTTATTGGAAATAGTTGGCAAAAATGTGACACTCTTGTGCGATTTGGTAAACAGCACCTATAGGGCGTGGCGGCCATTTTAAAAAGAAAACTCCAATAAGAAAAAAGCATATTATAGGTCTGTAAAATAAACTATTGAAAGTGCTGATGGTTGTGGGAGTAACTGTTGTTTTGTTGTCTTAGTTTGTATGAGCTTTATTGCGCTTTTTAAATAAATAAATAAAAAACAAAGCAGCTGCTTGCCATCACGACAGCAATAAGATCGGCCGATCGCTATCACTCCAAAATGGCGGAATCGCAGGGCTGTTGCTGGGTGCTGCTGAAATGGAACGCTCTATTGAGTGACGCCTCTTGGTCATTTTAAGTTTGAACTGAAGCGCTCACACCTCGCGCATGTGCAGTACGGAAGGAATGTTCCATTATTCATGGGGGCCCCAGGTTTTGAAAAGTAATAATAACGTTTAAATCTTAACAGTTATAGACGGGGTTTAACAACAAATGAGAGAAAATGCATAAAAGAGCTACATGATTAATATAGGATTCTTGGCATTGGTCGGGGACCCCTAATTTCCCAGGGCCCTAAGCGGCTGCTTACCTCGCTTATTGATTAAGTCCGCCCTTGTCAATCAGCTCGCAGTAGAAAAAAAACAAGCCATGGCCTCTGTCTTCTCATTTAATATTCCGTTTCTCTAGGAACTGCGTCAATACGGAAAAAAGAATGGTAGCAGCATCCCATTTATGCAGAATTTTTATTGTGCAGTATATTTATTATATACACCATTATTCAATCATTAATTTTCTTGTCGGCTTAGTACCTTTATTAATCCGGGGTCGCCACAGCGGAATGAACCGCCAACTTATCCGGCAAGTTTTTTACGCAGCGGATGCCCTTCCAGCCGCAACCCATCTCTGGGAAATACACACCATTATATAACTGTTATTGACGGCGCGGTGGCGCAGTGGGAAGCACTGTTGCCTCACAGCAAGAAGGTTGCTATTTCAAGCCTTTGTTGGGTGAGTTGGCATTTCTGTGTGGAGTTTGCATGTTCTCCCCATGTTGGAGTGGGTTTCCTCCGGGTGCTCCGCTTTCCCCCCACAGTCCAAACACATGTGCTATAGGTGAATTGGGTAAGCTAAATTGTCTGTAGTGTTTGTGTGTGAATGAGGGTGTATGGGTGTTTCCCAGTACTGGGTTCATTCCTCTGTGGCGACACTTGATTAATAAAAGGACTAAGCCGAAAAGAAAATGAATGACTATATCTTCTTGTTGTATATAGATCAGTTGACAGAATTCATGAATGCAAAGTCAACTCTTGTGAGTCGCCACTTGTTTCCTATAAGTAAAGATAAAGGGTTAGTTCACACAAAAATCAATTCTGCTAGTAATTACTCATCTAAACCCCATCGCTTGTTATCGGAACACATATTTAGATGAAATCGGCGAGCTCCCTCGTCCTCCATAGACAGCAATGCTTACAACTCATTTAAAGTGCAGAAAAGTACAAAAACATCCACATAAAAGACTCCACGCCTTCAGTGCTTCAATCAGAATATTATCAAGCTATTAGAATACTTTTGTGTGAACACAAAACAAAAATAATGACTTCATTCAACAGTTTGTTTCTCCTCAGTGTCAGTATATTGCACATATTTAAAAGAAGTAATAATATACACCCCCCAAATGTCCGCACACAACTTCCTGTTTAAAAACAAAACACAGGCATCCAAGGTAACATGTCATATGTGCGATATGTGAATACACTCTATTTTTCATCAGAAATGGAATTCATTTTGGAAATACTGAAGACATTACTCACTGGGCACTCATGCAAAAACAAAGACAACAATGTGATTAAGATAAAATGATTTATTGTTTCAATAATAGATCATTGTCAGTTGAGGAATATTAATAACAGCACATCCTAACCTGGTGCAACAAGAATAATCCAGCAAGAAGTCCTTTTTAGAAGTCAACTGTGGCATAGAGATAATTCAATAGTCGTTACTTGTGATTTATTCTGCAATGAAACCTCTGATAACAGACCTGATTTCCGAAACAACTCCATATCAGCTATACCGTCCAAAAAAAAGTATGGCATTGGCAAGTCTAAGATTTATATAGTACAGTCAGAGTCCAGTATTTGGCTGAATATTGACAAAGTCTGATATAATTTGCAGCTTATTCTGGCGAAAATAACTAAAGTCAAAACAACAAAAATTCCAGTAAGTAAAACGATGCAGGAGTTTATTAAAAAAAATGAGTAATAATACAAATAAAATCATGTTATTTGGTTTGTAGTGTATAGCTAGCTATGTGGAGCTGGATTTGAACTCTGCTTGTTTAAATTATTAGAAATATTTTAATTTATAGTCATGTGAAAAAGTAAGTACACCCAATGAAATTACAATCTTTCCATTTCATAACAAAAAATAAATAAAAATAGGAGCAGGTCTTAAAGGTGTAGTATGTAGGATTGACATAGTGCTTAGTTTAGTGGTTGTTTGAGGTATTGCAGTTCAAATTCAAAATATTCCCGAGGGTTTTAGTCACCCGGTCACTCCAATGACTCCATACTAGTGTTGTCATGATACTGAAATAAAAAAAAAAAAAAACGTTTATTTCCGCTAATATTTGATTAGTCGTTCATCAAACTCAGAGCTGTTTATTGAGTGTTACCACTTAAAGCCACGATTCATTAGCGAATTGCTCGTATCACTGAAAAAAAATGATTCAAAGATGATTCCTTGGATTTACTCAATTTTTTTACGTTAAGTGGTTAAAAACAATTTATTTGGGCTGATTTCAGTTGCTACCCATATCAAACACACCTGAACCAATTAATTAGGACCTGAACACCACTTGATAATTACAGGCAGGTGTGTTTGATATGGGTTGCAACTGAAATCTGCAGGAAGGTAGATCTCCAGGAACAGGATTGAGCACCCCTGGCTTAGTCAAAGTCCAGAGCTCATCCTGACTGAAACGCTTTGCAAAAAACTTTCATGCAGAAAATGAGAACTTCAACTCACTGCTGCTAAAAGTGGACCTACAGACATCTGAATCATAGGCTGCCTTCAGGTTGTCATCCCTCTATCTTTCTATCTTTGGTAAATAATTAATGACCCACTTTGAGATGTTGTGTGTTGTCCGTTTGAGGTTTTATCTTCGAGATTTTAAGACCTGCCAAGGACCATATTGTCCAGATATGGACGTGCAATTCAAGTCTCCTAACTTGTTCACATGACTATGTCACTAAATGTAGCTAAATAAATCAATCGATCTGTTGCTTTGCTGTAGCAAAACATTGTCCGCGTGATTGCACCTCAACAGGGAAGGATTGTTGTGGATCCTCACCAAGATTATCATCTTGTACATGTGATTAAGAGGTAAAAGTCTCAGGCACTTCAATTGTTTGCAGTTAACTATTTAAGGCTGGGGTGACCGAAGTCGCTCCTGGAGGGCCGATGTCTTGCTGACTTTAGCTCCAATTTGCTTCAACACACCAGCCTGGAAGTCTCTAGTATACCTTGCACAGGCATGTCCAAACTCGGTCCTGGAGGGCCGCTGTCCTTCAAATTTTAGTTCCGACGCCAATCAGACACACCTGGGCTAGCTAATGAAGCTTTTACTAGGCTTTCTAGAAACATCCTTGTAGGTGTGTTGAGGCAAGTTGGAGCTAAAATCTGCAGGACATCGGCCCTCCAGGACTGAGTTTGGACACCCCTGACCTAGTAACAGCTTGATTAGCTTGTTCAGGTGTGTTTGATTAGAGTTGGAGGTAAACTCTCCAGGACACCGGCCCACCAGGACCGAGTGTGGACATCCGTGATTTAAGGATTACATATCCCACGTCCTTTCTTAATCTCTAAACTACAGAACAGACGGTTTATAAAACACATGCCCCTCAGGATCCAAGAATAAAACAACACATAGGATATAAAACACCAACAATAAAAAAGGCAGCATCCAAAGCAGTTATAAGCCTGAGGGCTGAGGAATCCTAAAATTCTTTGGCGTTTCAGCAGGCACGATGTAAAATCCTCAGATAGTTTCATAGGCCGCACGCTTCTTGGGCCTTGACGTCAACATTGCAGTGCAGTGTGCATTAAAGGAGCTTAACTCTCTTGCAAATACACACCCTTCCAATTTATAACCTACTTATATACAGTATACATCAGGATAACGTATAGATATGTGCGCACATAAAACACTCGTAAAGCACTGTAGGTGCAGGTATGAAAACCGCAATATGTACATAAAAACCCGGCTGCATAAAATGTTTTGTCTGTTATTGCACTAAGGAGATTCTCCAACTTCCTGGACGCTCCCATCATCAGAAAACCCTTCCACGACAAACCACAACACCCCATCCGAGGGTCCGAAGAGTCAGGAACGACGCACAAGAACAATCAGATTAAGAGCTCAAAATCAGGTCTCCATTGGTGTGCTACTGCAATCCGGGACTGATGGTGGATTGGGATAGCCTACGGACACATATTGGGTCACTTCCGGATGATAGTCCTGTTTAGAAGAGATCTGGTAGTGGTTGTACTCCGAGTTGGGGTGTTTGTAGAGACCTTGTCTGCTTTGGTTGTAGTTGTGCTGGAATCCGTCTCCAGCAGACTGGTCTGAAACAAAACCGGGATTGTACCAAGTGTAGCGCGCTCGACCCTGCTTGTGCTGCATTTGGACTGATCCGCTGTCCCTGTGTTCTGCGTTTCCAGCTTGATCACTAGTTAAATATCCATCAAAGGGATTTCGTCCTCTATTTCGAGAGCGTTGTCGGTTCCCCCAGTTTCCGTAGCCTCTGTTTCCATGATTGCGTCTTTGTTGGTGATGATTATTCGGCCACTGTGGTTTCGGTGAAGGAGAGGATTGGAAAGTGTGAACTTCATCTGTATTTAGGGAAGACTGTGCTGCTGGTTCTTGGTTTCCACAAGGGCCCCAATTGAAGCCTCGGTGTTGGGGATTATTCTTAAACGGGAACTGTAGTTTCCTATCTTGTGGGGGCAGAAAGCGTCCAGTTCCTGGTAGGAAAGGCCCATTGGGGTTGCGAGAGGGTTGAGAATTGAACGATGGATTTGATGGTCGAGAGGATGCTGTGTTGAACGGGTTATTCTGAGAGTGTCCCGGGGGCGGTGTGTAGAGCGCATTGTTTGGCTGATTGTTGGCTCCTTTGCGGCGTTTTGGGTCGTGGTATTTTTCTGGATACTGCCAGCGATGGCGACCGCGCCGGTACCCAGAATCCTCATTTCGTCTGTTGACTTGTGCTGTCGGTTCTTCAACCCTGGCCCCACCAAATTCAACATCTTCATCATCTCCCTGAAATAAAAAAATGAAATCTTTACATGAGCTTAAAACATAGTGATAATGATGTGCCTGAAAAACGATAAACACGCTTGTATGCACTGGAGCTTCGCAATTCTCTCTTTAATGGATTCTGAATTTAGTTTTTAACAGCATATGGTGATGTACGCTTTACAAACAGCATTACTCTGAGTCCAATTCTTTCCAAATACCCCTTGAACGTAAAATAATCATTAATAAAGTTAGGAAAGGTTAATGCAAATTACAAGAGTTTACAGTGAGCTGTGTTTACATTAATCATCTCGACATGAAAGCCAACTTGCATAACTAAGCCAAATAGACAAGCTCTTCCTTGTGAGCATTAAAAACTAGAACTAGAGCACAGTCCGCTGCTATAACTAGCCTAAAGTGCCGTCTGGTGTTAAAAACTAGCCTAAAGCACTGACTGCTGTTAAAACTAGCCTAGAGCACCGACTGCTGTTAAAAACTGGATTAGAGCACAGTCTGCTGTTAAACGCTAGCTTAGAACGCCATCTGCTGTTAAAAACTAGCCTAGAGCACTGTCTGCTGTTAAACGCTAGCCAAGAGCATCATCTGCTGCTAAAACTAGCCTAGAGTGCCATCTGCGGTTAAAAACTAGCCTAGAATGCCGTCTGCTGATCAAAAACTAGCCCAGAGCACCGTCTGCTGATCAAAAACTTGCCTAGAGCGGCGGCTGCTGATCATAAACTAGCTTAGAGTGCCGTCTGCTGTTAAACACTAAGCTACAGAGCCGTCTGTTGCTAAAAACTACCCTAGAGCTCCGTCTACTGTTATAAACTAGCCTAGAGCACCATCTTCTTTTAAAAATGCAGCCTAGATCTGCGGCTGCTGTTTAAAAACTAGCCCAGAGCACAGTCTCCTGTTAAAAATTAGCCTAGAGTGCCATCTAGTGTTAAAAACTAACCTAGAGCGCCGTCTGCTGCTAAAAACTAGCCTAGAGCACAGTCTGCTGTTAAAAATTAGCCTAGAGTGCCATCTAGTGTTAAAAACTAACCTAGAGCGCCGTCTGCTGTTAAAAATTAGCCTAGAGTGCCATCTAGTGTTAAAAACTAACCTAGAGCGCCGTCTATTGTTATAAACTAGCCTAGAGCACCATCTTCTTTTAAAATGCAGCCTAGATCTGCGGCTGTTGTTTAAAAACTAGCCCAGAGCACAGTCTGCTGTTAAAAATTAGCCCAGAGTGCCATCTAGTGTTAAAAACTAACCTAGAGCGCCATTTATTGTTATAAACTAGCCTAGAGTGCCATCTAGTGTTAAAAACTAGCATAGAGCGCCGTCTGCTGTTAAAAATTAGCCTAGAGTGCCATCTAGTGTTAAATACTAGCATAGAGCGCCGTCTGCTATTAAAAATAGCCTAGAACGCCTTCTGCTGTTAAAAACTAATTGTATTTTAGGCTTGTTTTCTGAATATATGTGTTACCTTAACATCAACTGGGAATATCTTCTCCATCTTCACCATGCGATCCCTCAGTGATCGGATTTCCTCGTCCTTCATATTATTCTGCAGCTTCACCTCCTGCAGAATGTCAGTCAGTTTGTCGATATGAGCCTTGAGGTCTCCCATATCGGTCTTTCCTCCTTCACTTCCTCCTCCAGCTGCTGCTGCTGCAATTCTGTCCTCCCTGTCTCCCTCTTCTTCCCCAATGCCCACAGTCTCACATACATCCTTCGCCACACTTTTCCAGGTCTCTCTCTCCTGAGGGTCTTTCTGGCAATATGTCCGACAGAGCTCCTTCATTCTGACAATAGCCAAGGCCTCGATCTCTTGCCGCGTGTGCTTAAAATCCCCAAGTGCAACCTTAAGAAGCAACAAGAGATATGCTTTATTAATGTCAACTTCTGGTCATATGATCTAGTGCCCAAACGCGGTCCTAGAGGGCCTAAAAGAAACATCGTCTTTGAAGTGGTCATTGAAATGCTCTTGAAATGTACAGTATCCTGGCATGTTTGCATCAATTAACAGGTCAGCTTGGTGACTGCTATTGACTTAATGGCCCGTTTTCCACTGAGTGGTACAGTACGGAACGGGTTATCTTTATAAGGCTTGCGTTTCCACTGCCAAAAGGGTACCAATGGTGTACGACAAAGTTTCAGACGTCTTTCTTACTCAAGGAAATGTCAAAGTAAAGCCGTATGGGTCGTTCACATATCATACGAGAAGCACTTCACAGTGGCTTTATAAATTTAAATACTTCTGTATAAATGTTCATTACTAACCTCCAATGAACATGATTTGATTATAACTGCAGATCAATGATGTGAAATAGCCTGCTGTAAATGCAACCTATATGAACACATACAGACCCTTACAGTCTTCAATATGTCACCAACTACAGATAAACTACACACAGCAGACATTTAGTCCTTATTTGGGTACAAAAACAACACGAAATTTAGCCCACAGTGAGAGCAAACCTCTCATCTGTATATTTAATCTTCACCAGCACATGTAACCACTGTTGGAGAGTATTTCCAACATTCCCAGTTCATAATAGTCCAGAAGGTGATGATGATAATAAAACAAAGTGAAATTGAAACCGCTCGCTCTTAAAACAACAACAGGACACGGTAGATTTTCTTCTTCTTGGCTTTGTGTTTGTTCATCAAGACGACAACCAGGTTTGTTTGAGCTCGGGTCGAACAGGGCTTGTTATTATATGTATATATTATTATGGTGTAATGTCTCGGCTGTGTTTTTAAAAATGGTGGTTTCTTTGTTTCATTTTCCTGCTTCTGTATCTATGTAAACCAACAGTGTTCAGCTACGCGTCTCACTCTGCCTTTTGGTACCCTTTTGTCATGCTAGGTACCCTTAAAAGGTACCCATAAAGTGGTACTGTACATTCATTTTTAGGCACCTTTAAACAGTGGAAACAAAACCGAGCTGTACTGTACCACTCAGTGGAAACGGACCATAAGTGACTGCAAGTTAACGACTTGAAAAGACCAGTACGAACTCTGTCTATATATATATATATATATATATATATATATATATATACACAGTTGAAGTCAGAATTATTAGCCCCCCTGAATCATTAGCCCCCTTGTTTATTTCCCCCCATTTTCTGTTTACAGAGAGAAGGTTTTTTTCAACACATTTGTAAACATAATAGTTTTAATAACTCATCTCCAATAACTGATTTGTTTTATCTTTGCCATGATGACAGTTAATAATATTTAACTACATCTTTTTCAAGACACTTCTATACAGCTTAAAGTGACATTTAAAGGCTTAACTAGGTTAAATTGGCAGGTTATGGTAATTAGGCAAGTTATTGTATAACGATGGTTTGTTCTGTAGACCATTGAAAAAATATATAGCTTAAAGGGGCTAATAATTTTGTCCTTAAAATGGTGTTTAAAAAATTAATAACTGCCTTTATTCTAGCCGAAATAAAACAAATAGAAGAAAAAATAAGAAAAAATATTATCAGACACACTGTGAAGATTTCCTTGCTCTGTTAAACATCATTTGGGAAATATTTAAAAAAGAAATAAAAATTTAAAGGAGGGCTAATATTTCTTCAACTGTATATATATATATATATATATATATATA